AAATTTATGGGGTTGATACGAAGATGACGTTTAAGTCAAGCCTTATGTCTGACGGATTTAAAAGTTTTCGTTGGTGGGCCCTTATTCTGTTTATTTACCCATTCTTATATTTTTCTTTTATTCATTTTTGTATATGTTCGTTCTGACATTATGGGAAACTAATTTAGTGGACTGAACTTTCCACCAAAAAAGAAGTAGATTAGTCACGCTTTTGAAACTAATCAACTTAAATAATTTAATAATTATTTTTTTATTAAAAATAGAAAATTTTGAATTCGAATCATATAATATATAAATGGAATAAAATAAAAAATAAAAAATAATTATATCTCATTGTATAATCAATATAAAAAAATATATATGTGATCAATTTAACCAATTAAATTGGTGGATAGATCAAATAAAATTCTAATGGCGTGTTTAGGGATGTGAGAAAACGGCAGGATATTGTATCTGGGAACAAAAATATTTATCCGTGTGTTCTCGATTTCTAACGCTTAGAGCTTACTTGGAGGAGGCCAATTTTATTAAAAAACTTCTCTACTAAAAAAGTAGTTAAAAAAATACTGTATGAAAATTAAAACATTTTATAATAAAGTTTTGCTAAAATTTTATTAAATTATTAATTTTTTTATATTAGATAAAAAAATTGAAATAAAAAAAGTTAATAAAAAGAAGTTATATACTATATAAGAAAAGTCAGGAGAATTTTTTTTCTTTAAAAAGTTTGAGAAAAAAAATTTATTGGTTGAAAATTATGTTAGGAAAAATAAAAATTAAAAATTTCACTATTATTATTTTTTTCTTGTAGTATTAAAATACAAAAATACATAAAAAAACCTCATAAGATACCTAAATATCCTTATATAAAAGAAACTTTGGAGAAAAACCAAATACGTCTTAAGATTGTGACGCAGATCACGTGTTTGTGCAGTGTTCATTATCTTATAATGTGTGGCTGAAGATTTTAGCTTGGTGGGACATTTATATAGCAGTGTAAGGCAGTGTGAAGGAGGTTTTATGGCAACTTACTTGGGTGTCAGCATGAAAGGACAAAATCTATTTGGTCTTTTTCGTTCATCTCGGTCAGTTGGCATCGGTGCCAGTTGAGAAACTGGATGACTTTTAAACGGGTGGAGGCAGATGCACACGGATTAATGAAGGTAATACAAGCTAAGTCCTCGTGGGTAAAGGATAAATTAAAGTGCATTTGGGTTTTTATTGTATGATTGGATTAACTATCTTGACTTTTTACATTAGAAAAGTGGATGTTTAACTTGAAATAATAATACAACATATATAATATATATAAATAAGGTAAAAGTATCTTTTGTACTCTAATATAATAAACATATTATTTGAAAAAAAAAAGAAAAAAAGAGAGAAAACCTACATAACCATTTCAACCGCAACTTTATAGTTAACAGACATGAGACAACATCACTTAACATAACCCACATAAAATGGGGAATAAAGAGTGAAGGCCTTGTCTTTGCGATGTAATTCACAAAACAGCTGTTTTTATTTTTTTTCGTACAAATTAAATAGGAATTATTATTAACAAGTTAAAGAATGATAAAATATGTTCCAATACACAAAACAAATGTTGATATATTGAGTACCACTCTCTTCTTCATCACAAATGTAAACATCATTTTTTTTCTTATTCTAAAACACCAGCATCTATTTAAGACAACTAAGAGATTTAGATATGTTGAGAGATACCTGGATGTAACTTCGCAAAAGTATCCCATATGCTTGGTTGCCTCCCATCTGCCCTTGTCGCCCCTTCATACTGATTTTAATTAAAAGAGAGGTTAATTAATAAAAGGAAGGCAACAGCAACTGAAAGTTTGATTAATATTGATTTGGATTAACTAAAAGTAAATTAACGATCACTGTATAAACAAACAAGAGTTTAGTCAAGTTGGTCTCAACTATAAAATATTGATTTGAGAATAAAGTAAGTGATTGTATTAAATGGCCTACCTGGTAAGCACTCGATCCTGCTCCGAAGATAAAACCATCAGGAAAGCTACTCCGATTTAGCGCGGTTGATTGTTCAAAGTAGGCTAAAAATGAAACCAGTGCTGCAAGGAAGAGGAAGAAACGAAACTCCATTTTCATGTATGGCGTTCCTCCATTTCCTCTGCTGTCTATAAATGCAGTAAGAAAACATGCATGTGGAAATGTACCTATATGCTGAGAGAGAGAGAGAGAGAGAGAGAGAGAGAGAGAGAGATACTGATATCATGCGCCCTACATTTTGTTAGATGGATGCGAATCATTGTGGTAGGTTTTGTTTTGTTTTGTTTTGTTTATTATTATTATTATTATTATTATTATTAGCTTTTGGTGGCGAATCATTGTGGTAGTTGGTAAATATGATGTGCTTTTTTCTCATTTTGGACTGATTGGGGAAATAAATAAATAGTCAACGCTGGACTGGTAGTTTTCCGTTTCGGCAAATGGCACCGGTACATTAATTCGTGCTCTCTACCTTTGGTAGTTTTCCATTTTGGTAAATGGTACCGGTAGATTAATTTGTGCCCTCTTCCTTTGGTAGATTTGCGCCCTCTGCCTTTTGGTAGATTTGTGCCCTCTACCTTTGTTGGATAAGGCACTGATATCTAATTTCCTCCGATTCCCCTCCCAGGCATTTCTCAATTCCAAAGCGCTAACTTCCTTCT